AGCTGGAGGAATTGGTTTACACTGATCTCGCGTTAATTCCAGGCTAGACGACCATTTCAAATGGATACGGTTACAATCGAATTCCAAAACAGACCTCAACTGGTATATTTGATTCACTTCGACCAGTTATCAATGCTGATTAAATCCGCTGAAAACGCAAGCCATTTTCATCATCTTAGCAGTTTTAGTAATCAAGCGTGTTCCGCGTGTCTTACCCAAATTGCACGCTAAGCGTGCTATAATTCGCACACTTACCGTGACCTATGGCACACTACAAAAAAACAAAAGGCTAGCCTGCTAAATTTACCAAAACAAAGGCAAGTGTGTCCGTCTTTGTTTTTTCAATTCAATATGCGCATATCCGTGATCTACGGCATGCTAAGCGTGTCGTGAGCGTGCTTTCACCTTTAGCATCAAATTCCCCTGGAGGGTCACATATGTGAGCATTTCTGATCAGCAGGTTTCTTGTGGGTTAACGTTTGTTATGCGCCTCATGATTGGCCTAATTCTTACGTGTGCGTGACGATAAGGGCACAGTGACATGTCAGAATTCACAGAAGGGAGTTGGCAATGATCGTTTGCAGTTTACAGCAAACAATAAAAGAGCAGTTCAAACTTAAAAGCCTTCTTCTGCACAAAAAAATGCTTTGAGAGAATTCCTTGTGATATATATATTTTTTATAAGAATTTGCTTGTAAATTTGCCCACTGGTTTTCCAGCATCTTCCAATCACTGCAGATTCACTGTCGCGTATTCTGCAATCTAGCCGACAGTTCTAGGCTTCTAGCATCCCCAAAAAAATCAGGAAATCATGATCTTCACAGCCAAAAATAAAACCCACCTACATGTGGCTATTCAGGTCCAGGTATTTTAGAGAAACCAAAGAAACTAAGGTTATTTAGCCACAAGAAAAAAGCTTATTAAGGCTTAAACAGAGGTAAAAGAAAATCATTTCATGGTAAACTGCATTTGTGATCAAATCCTGTCAGAAAACATCTGTAGAGACATCAACCATATATGCATGGAACAGACCAGCTTCTTCAACCTCTAAAAGCGAGACTCAAAGTGGTAAAATAAAATTTGCTCAGTGTAGAATACTCCATGCACTGCATAAACTACGCAAAAAGAGAACAAGAAAAACCACTGCTGTTCAAGCTGACTCTTTGGTCTTGTTAATTACACTATCAAAAGCTCAATCTCCCTTCTCACAAGCTATGATATTGTGCACTAATTTGCAGACACTCTATACAGAAGGTTTAGAACGTCTGCGATGCAAGTAAGTTTAGCCAAGCAAGATCATCACTGCAAGTTAAGCTTAAATTATGATAAACAATTTAACAAATGGGGTTGACTATGAGTTGTAAAAAGGGGGGGGGGGTACCTATGAGTCATTATTTAAGTATATTCATAAGTCTCGCTTGCTTAAGAAATGAGAAGGCAATTACATCTACATGAAGCAGGATTTCCTTGTGACAAGTTTTTAACTTCCTACTTCATCGACAGTCAAGTATTCTTCAGGATATTTTATTTTATATATGGTATTTGACAATTATTTGTTTCTGAATTGATCGAGTATTAGTAGCCATTGTACGTACAGGTCTGCATAGGTTCATGGGAAAATTGAAACTGTTACCCTCCATACCAGAAGGATGTGGTTTATACTTCCCCCCATGGAGGGCATCAGGAATTCCAATGGGAAGGGTCCAAGAGGAGGCGATTTCCAAGAGGGTGGGGTCAGGTTCTCAAGGTCTCCTTTTCCAGGGACTTTGAAACAATAATTATTGTTTTTATTGATGATGTTACATTAACAGTTACAGCTGAATGCTTTTTTCACAGCTTACCTGTATGATATAGTCTACATGTATGTAATATGAATGTCATATCGGCTCAAGAATAATGCTGGTCATCCAGCTCATTGCTTTATATTTCACAGTATAATTGTGGTATTCACTGTGTTATGGTCAGTTGCTTTAAATGTCAGAAACTAGGTTAAGTTCCCTGAAATTGATTTCTTGGAATCGAACCCCTTACAGTGGAACCTCTCTAATACGGACACTGAAAGGACAGAGCGAAGTGTCCATATTAGAGAGGTGTCCGTATAAAAGAGGTCACTACGATGACGTCACCTTTATGACTCCACTTACAGTTTTAAGTGTTCAGTAGCTAAAACCAGTTGTCAGTGACTTGACTGACAGCTTTCTTGTGTATTTTCCTGTCGTAATAACAGTTGCTTATGCTTGTCAGTAGATCACTGACAAGTGATGATGGTGTTTTCATCCCTTTTTCTAATAATTTATTTTTTGCTGCTGCTCTTCATTGAATTACCTTTCCATATTGTTCTTCCAGATCTAAATCTGCCAAAGGCTCATAGGTCCACAGGATGTAAGATTTTTCGATTGTTTTTCTTCCTGTGGTTCTGATACTGTGTAAGCTTTCCTTGGGTTTCTGAGGTTGAAATTGAAATAGCAGTTACAAAAACAAATTGCATGTATACTGCTAGTTCAAAAGTAGTTCAAGAAACTTCCTCTTCTTGCCTTGCTATTATCTCTTTCTACGCCACTGCATGACTTTGTGATTTCTCTTTTTTCAAAATTTGGGTATGATTGTAGGTCATGTGTATACTGGAAAGTCCTATTGCATTATACAGTACCAGTATGAAAATTAACTCTTTTAGTTATTGAGATCTGGAATATTTATTAAGGTCCCCATTTAAGACCACAGCCTACAAGTATGTTATTTTTGCTATATCATTTTATGGGTACTTGTACACCTGAATTATAGGGACATAAAACAGTTATCTCACAAGGAGCGGGGGAGGGGGGGTCACAGGCCCCCCAGGACTACCCCCTAGCTACGCCCCTGATGAGGAGAAAAAAATTTTGCTATCGCTTGTTTACGTCCTCAATAAAACGTGAAATTTGGCCTTTTCTTGTCCTGGTCATGCAGTGATGGTTAAAAAAATGTACAAAAAAGCGTTTTGCACGTGCAGAGTTGTCGTTTTGCGTATTCATTTAAACGTATTGCCTTTTTGACGTTCTCTTTGTCGTCGCCGTTGTGGCATCTTAAAGTCCCTAATGATGATTTTTTTATGCTGTCTTTGTTTTTTAATTATTAGCAAACCCCAGCCTAACCTCTAATCAGGGGAAACCTCTATTCAAGGGACACTTGCTTTGGTCCTGAGGGTGTCCCCTGAATAGAGGTTTCATTATATTATTTGTTTTATCTATTGCTTCAAGTTTATTTTTTTTATTTCAAAGCTCACTTAATAACTTTCTGTGCTTTGCACTGTGAGCCTGTTGACTTTTTTGATTGGTATTATTATGATCATCTTTGATAACTAAGATTTTTTATGCTCCATTTCTTGTACACTGTACAAGTTAAAATTCACACCAAATAGTATTGTATGAAACCTGAAATGATGCGACAATGGCCGCTATTGTCAAGTGAAATTTACCCTACGTAATAAAGTTATTTTTCAGGTATTATTAAGTCAGTCCGATAATGAGTTTTCTGTGTGTCTTGCATAAAAATAGTTATCATCTTAATGTTTTTCTCTTACCACTTATTACCCTTCTTTGTTCAAGTTATAATCTTTCATGTAATGTCGGGGAGAGAAGATGCTGCCTGGCTTGCTCATGGTAGGGAATTAAGGGGATGTGATGTTGCCCTCTACCTAAAGGTCTGGGGACGAGCCAGGGACCACATGGTCTAGTGTATACTGGGCAACCTCATAGGGATTGGCTGGGAAAACAATGAACAAACAAAGTAACAATGGAACCGAGCTGTGACATATAGGAATCCAAACAAATTAGAGGTTCTGAAGAGTTGCAAGGGTACGGTTTTGACAAATGATTTTGAGCTAAACATATTGCACAAATTTTGCTTTAGGTGATGACGTCTTGGTTAAATTAGCCTGCGAAACGCATATGTATGTTCAGTTTTTCGGAGGGAGCGAAGCGACGGCCAGAAATACGTCTGCGTTTCGCAAGCTATGGTTAAATGGGGTGTGAATATGGTTGTTTTCAGTTGTTATTTTATGGTACTGGAAATGCCCGCTGATAAGAAGGTCCCTTTTTTTGAAGTAGGATCTTGTTCTTGGGGTACTTATTGGCAATTTAGGCCAGGAGCGTAGCATGAGATTTTGTAGGTGTACGCACGCGGGGAAGAAAAGTTGTAGTGACGAAGGCGGCCCACCGTAGGGAGATCTGGGGGCATGCTACCCCAGATTTTTTAAAATTTAGGGTCTCGGAAATGCCAGTTCCAGCGTTTTCTGCAGGATATTTTCAGTAAATTTATACTTAGGAAATGCAATCAGTTGTGTATTTTTCCAATCTCTAGTGTTGTCGGTAAGGTACAGTGTTTACGGGAAAAAAGGCCAGTGACGTCATCAGAATTATGGGATAATAAAAGGATAAAGGACATACTAACACAAAGACACCAATCAGTAGTGGCGAAAAATGTATCATTCATTCTGATTTAATGATAAATATGATTTTTCAGGAAATAAAAATATATTTTTATTATACCAAGTCATTTGACATGAGAAAATTTTCCTTAGCGCGACCGAGAGTTCTACGTGGCGGTGCACTCGTTTTCTGAAGAGTTTCGTAATCAGAGACTGACTCGGATTTGGTGGGAGTAAATTTGGCCACCAAAGGTTACGACCTTTACTCTCAAGCCCTGCCAATATACAATACACAGATATCTCTTCAGCAAAAGTGGGGGAAAAAACAGCCTCCAAATAGGTCGATACAGTTACAAAAAGTAAATAATTAGAGCACAGGCAGGCGGCGGGGGAGGTGGTGGAAAATTGCGAGAATTCAGTTCGAACCAAGTGATGTGCACTGTGTGATGGTGAGCAGTCTAAAGGGGCGAGCACATGGTAAAGCACTGTTAAGAACTATGACACCTGGAACGCTCTAGATTCTGATTGGTTAAAAACCACACCCGCCGCCCGAGTCTGAGGCCCCTTGTCTAAGTAAATGCCTTGTCATAAGATCCCATTATGATGACGTCATAATAGTGTCTTTTTCTCCCCATACTTTAGCTGTACATGTACGCAGGGGCGTATGCGAGTAGATGGACGTTACGCCCCTGTAGGCTAGGTAGGTTCTCAATTAGGTTCTTACAAGTAATTTTTATGAAGGACATAATAGATTGTTGGTAATGAAAAAATAAATAAATTTTCTGTTTATTCACAATTATGATAACCCTAACAAAACTTATTACCGAATATCACACAGTTTAGTACAGTATGTTTTTGCTGTACTTAAATTTACAACTCAAGGTTACACTCCTTTGTTAAATTGTTTATCATAATTTAACTGTAAAAGTTGACCAGATATAAGAACCTGCTTGATTTAGCTTGCCTAAACGGGTTCTGGTATTCTTAGGTATTAAAGTGGAAATTTCTGCCAGGAGGTTCTTAACCACAGGTTCTTATTAGCGGGTGTTTACTCAGTAACTGCCTCTTTAGTCAAACCAGTCAAACCTGTATTAAGCGGACCTCTATAGGCGGTCACCAATTAAGGTCCTGGAAAAAGCTTCCCTTAATTATTGTAAAAACTGATCTGTATTTAGCAGTTACCTCTATTAAGCAGCCGTGGTCACCTGTTTCAAGGTCTTAATGAGTAATTTGTCATTGTCTTTACCTCTATTAAACTGTCCCTTTGACAAGATGTGCCATAGTAGTGCAAAAGGATACACAGTGTAGGGTGTTTAGTGGTCTTGCAGAGACTTGCCAACCCCCAAAAGGCAAAAAATGTGAGATTCTGAACCAGAGCTGGGAAAAGTAGTGAGAAATAAAAGGGCAAAACGAGGATCGTGGTTAATTTTAATACTGAAAGATTACAACTAAACCACATTTTGGTACCTCATGGGTAAAAAAGATGATGAGGGAAAGGATAGATCTTTTTGCTTTTTCTTTGGTCCGTACATTAAGTTGAGGACCGAAAATTTACCATTCTAGAAAAAGAAGTATAAGTTATTGTGAAAAAAAAAAAACGAAAATATAAATATCAGCAGTCTTGACAAATGATTTTGAGCAGAACATATTGAACTCATTTTGCTGTAACTGAGGGCATAACTGTTTATCCTGTAGCAAGTGAGATCTCATTGAAATGGGCTGTGAATAGTTGTGTTTAGTTGTTATTTTACAGAAAATACTGCCACTACAGTCAATATAACTTACATTATATCATTATCTTTCCTTACCGTTTCAGTTTTACATTCGGCCTGAAACTACAGTGAAGATCACCAAGGATACAGTTACAATTAGCAAACTAAAAGAACGTGGGGGTTATAACGGACGAACTGTTCAACTAAAAGATGCTGATCCAAATGAGCTTCAGCTTTTTATTGACAATATGCCCGCCACTATCAAAGGTAAGAGTGTGAAATATGGTTTTTGATTAAAAAGGGAATAAGATTAAACTTACTGTATGTACGTAAGTTTAGAAACAGGTAGCTTAAGCTTATGACGAGAGTAGTTAGTTTGGTTTTTTGAATTGAGAAGCTTATGGTTAAACCCGTACATATGTATGGATAGCTGGGCTTAAATATTTAACATTGATGAGTGAAATATCCAGACTAAATTTTATAAACATTAACGCTTATGAATTTGGTGAAACGGCAATCCTCGCGTCAAAACGCGCTGTCAAGAGTGTCAAGAGGGGTTGACTACAAGAACAACATTTATATACTTAAAAAGAGCATGATATCGGGCTGTCCTCCATTCTAGTAATTTGGAGTCGACAAACCAGATCATATTTAATACTATAAAATGAAAGCTTAGAGTCAAACATTAGTTGGACTTTCTCAAAGCCCGTTTCCATTTTTCTGCTTTTTTAAGACTTTTTCGCTATGCACGTTCTGTGGGTAAATAACAATTATTCACCGAAGTGGAGGTGGCTAGCCACCGACACTGAGGTGAATAATTGTTTTAGTATATACTAAAACAGTGAGATAATTGAGCACAAAATGATGATTTTTAACTCATTTACTGTTGCCAACGATTACAATTTTGGCGCGCGATGACTGAACGGCCGCGGTCGGCGCTTTTTCTTAGCGACAAATAAAACTTTTGAAGGCGTTTGTTTCGCTCTTGCGGGGAAGTTTCTTCAAAATGAGTTGTAAATTCTGTTTGTATTTACAATAATTCTGTAAAAGAGATTATTAAATATAGTTTTAAGCTTATTTTTGAATAAGTGAACTAAATAAAGTAACGCAAGACTTAAGCTTAATTTGCATTTGTAAACAAAAAAATACTTTTTCACCGCCTTTATCGATAACTATTCACGTCAAAAAGACAAAGCTTTACCTGTTAAAACTTCCAAACCGAACTTCGTCACCTTCTTCATGTATTTCGGAAATAGCTTGCTTGATTAGTTGCGAAATTTCTTAGTTTGTTACGGCAGCAAACGGGGAAAGCATTTTGCTCGCAAGAGTCTCGCAACATACGCGAGTTTGGCGTCGCTCGCTTGGAGGAACTGGAGGTGAATCAGTGAATAGTGCAGGATATTCACTGATTGAGTAGCCAACCAGAACGCGCGGAAAACACTATCCACTGTTTTAGTATATACTAATTAATTTTATCGACCAGTACGAGATGGATCTGGCAAGAGCTACGTGATTGTATTTTTTACCCCTTCATTTCGTTTTTTCTAATGGCATATCTCACGCTTGCCCAGAATGGTGAAACACTCAATAGAGCTAGCCTAGATCCATCGCAAAATTAAACAAGACTTACCTGTAAGTTGAAGTTTGATTAAGATTCTACCGAGTTATAAAATGCTAGCAGCCGGTAAAAGAAAAAAGGAAACATCTCTTGAAAAAGAGTACTAGCCCGCACAAGGCTTCAAACTAGATTAACTAAAAGAAATATACATGTAAATGCTACAGGGAAGTACGCGCGTACGGTATTTACGCCCTCCCTCTCCGGGGGCGATTTACGCACGAGTTGTTCACTTTTCAGAGAGATGCAAAAACAAATTCGTGCTTAAATACCGTACAAGGCACTTCTGCACTTTCTAGGCAACAAATCATGGAGAATATTGGATATGGCCTGGGTGCAACGCCATAACCCACTTTAATCATTATACCCAAAAAATTAAACACTACAGCAAACGAAATAAAACTGAAAGCTACATGTAAGAGTGCCTGGGTGGCCAGAAAAAACCTGTCCCAAAAAACCCCGTAGGGAAAAAAGTACAGGAAATCTGGGGCGGGCTAGGCGCAACTTACGTCCCACGTCAGGACTCTAAACAAATTACTCAAAACTGCAACAGACAAAAGCAGAACTTCTAATAAAACCATTACACGTGTATACTGGAAAATATACTACACCTTGTATTCACCTGGACTGAAAATGACTTAGATAAGGCTAAGCGCTAACAATTACACGCAAATTGTGGGAAATATACTGAAACATATTTATATTTTTATGAAATACATCTGGACTGCAAGTGACTAGATACAGAGAGCTAGTTAAGACCATGCCGAAAATGCCTATGCTTAGTGGACTCGCACCTCCAACCGGCGTGGATATCCAACAAATCACCAGCTATTCTCCTACAAGCTGGATTGGGTGCCACGTCAGACTCGCGCTCACTTGTGGGTGCAGTACTTACTTAGAAACATCACTAACTAATGGCTTTAAAATATGCTTCTTAAACTCGTCTCCTAAATAACGTGAATAAAGAAACACTTGCACTAGAATGAAAGTATAATATACCGTGCTAAGATTGAGCTTGAACAATTCTACGAACTAATGGAAACGCACAGGAGGACTAAGGAGAGAACTTAATAAAACACTAGGTCACAGTTGCGGGACAAGGCCTCAGAGTTCTATAAAGATCTACTTTGCGCTTGCACGGACACATAAATCGACATAAAACTATTACATGTATATATTCTAGATGAGAGGCAAAATCTTTAGCAATCGCCTGACAGAACTAACAGAAAGCAGCTACTTAGACTGAACTGGGCGTGCAAGCCTGGCTTCTTTTGGCGTCCTCTAATTTAAAGGGAAACTTAAGCAAGGCGTGGCTAACAACAAAATTAAATACCAGCCACTGCATGGCCCCAACTTATACTGTAAACAGCAGATTCTAAATAAGATGCGCCAGTGTTATCCTCAGAACGTTAAGCAAACTTAGATAGATGCAATGGGGCAAGCAAAGGTTTTTCTAATAGCAGAAACACCAGTCTTCGAAAGAGCCGAGTCACGTCACCACAATAAGCCAGACCCGTATCTTCAAGACTGTGGATGGAGCGTTAACATCCAACTGCAATCCAGTCAGGCCTGGAACTGTATCCCTCAGCGAAGAATCAGTCAAAGGGGCTGTTTCAAGCCATAACCTGGAATTAAGGGCAACTGAAATAAAAGAAATATCGTAAAAATTAAACAACTACAGCGCTATTTATTTAACTGAATAAAAAAAAAAAGAAAAACGTTGAACAAGGGAGGCGCTGAGCAAAATATTCGGGCAAAGAAGAATTGAAAAAATTATATTACAGGCCCAAAACGAGCCGACACAAAAATGACTTGAAACATGCCGAATCGGGCTCAAAAATAAGCTAAAGCAGGCTCACAGATATGCCAAATCAGACTTCCAAATGAGCTGAAGCAGGCTCACAGATATGCCAAACCAGGCTCAAGATTATGCCAAATCAGGCTAAAAAATAAGACAAATCAGGCTCACATGCCGTACAAATATGCCAAACCGGGTACACAAATATACCAAAATCAGGCTCAAATCAGGCGACCACTACGAGACCCACAGGAAAGAAAAATCCAGTTATCCTTTCCACTCCAGTCTCGGACAAAGGCATCGGACACACCTACAACCAGGAGAAGTAAACTAGGAGTCAAAACGCGGAAGCTGAGCGCTCTATAATAGGATGTGAAACGGTTAAGATTCGTGCGAGGACCCCATTTGGCTTCAACGACTCGAAACACAGAGGGATTAGTTGGCGAATCATCCTCGTTAATGAAACGGCGCAAACGATCAGCCTTCGTTGACCCAAATAATCGATCGTGAACATAACGCTAGCCGCGAAATAAAGCGACGCTTGCGTCCGGAAATACAACTGCGGAAGCATCAGGGAGGGGTGCCGAATGGAGTTACTGTTTAAAGAGTCAATGTCACAAAAACGAAAACTTCATTTCCTCCAGCCGAGGGGGAGTGAAGCGAAAAAGGTAACCCTAAGCCGATTAAGACTCCATAGCTACCTACGTCTGGCTTGTATGAAGAGGGGAATGGGCCCCACCGCTAAGGCAACTGAAATAATGGAACCAGCCATCCAGCTGATTTCCAATAGAGAGTTGACTCATTTTGAATTGCAGAATTCGGCCAAAGCCGCTTCACTAGCTGAAAACTTGCCTGTCGGGAATCTGAAACGTAAATCACATAGTGGAGACCGCAAACCCGAGCCACTCGCCCACTTGTATTGGGACCCGTTGGGATTTCTCCTTACCAATAAGGAAACGGGAAGAATAAGCCCCTTGCGCTCAATAAAACCTACTGGGCGGCGGAAGTCCTCTTTAGATGACTACCAAATGCGTCATCGAGATAAACAAAAGACTTCAAACCCATAGAAAGCCAGTAAAACAAAAACAAGCGCTTAACTAGACCAAAGACTAAAATCGAGAAAGCGAAATTCCAGAGCACACTGTTGAAGGGCCAAGAAAAACCTCGATACTTCTGGTGATCTAAGGAAATGTCAATCCAGATTATAGGTCCCATTCATAAGGTGCGAAAATTCTCGTACTTAAACTTAAATCAACCGAGGTAGCAGTTAACGTGACTGCATATGATCGATGACGACTTCAACCGTCAAAATGGAGGCTCACCATGCTCGATAATACAGCCATTAGCTAAAAACTCGGAAGTGGGCAATGGTAGCAACAGTGAACTGAGGTGCTTTTAGGCGGGACTCACAAAGCCTAAAGGAGGACTTAAAGCGACCCTAAATAACTCCTGAACAGATATCCCTTGGAAAAGTTCTTCGGAAAGACTAAATTAATTCAAATCACACTCATCTGAAGATTGGCAAATGAATGTTATCCCTCATCTATTGTAGCCAGCCACGGCGAGGATTGGTCCTTGAAATGAAGAAACAGACGTGAGCAAAAGCCGAATTCTAATCGCTAAAAAACAAAACAAACAATTTTTCCAATAAGCTGAGAAACTGAAAGCAATAAAATCAAATCAGACTGTGGGTTGTTAGGCGTTCACAGACCCGAAGGACGAATTCGAATGAACAAGGCACTTATATAACTGTATAAAAAATACTTAACACCAAAAATACCGAAACACAAACAGACAAGATAATACACGTAATTAACCATATAAGAACGTGCAGAAAACAGATATCTGCTAAACTGCGTACCGCAGATATTTTTGCATTTCCATGTGGGTTTGTGTTTAGTATACATGTACAGTATACATACCGAGAGATCATTCTGTCAGTCTTTATTTTGAAGATTTCCAGAGTGCTTACTGAATGATAAACTTGGTGCTACATATTGTGAAATGACTTGAAAGGAAACGGCGTCCCTGTGCGTGACGTCGTCTTTCCAAACCTCTAAGTATTAAAATTATAACGAGAGTAAAGATATAAGGTACAGGCGCTGATCTAGGATAAATACTGACCGATTTTCCAACGGCGAACGTCCAACGCGCAAGTCTCTAGGGAGGTCCGGGGACTTGCTCCCCCGGGAAATTTTTCGGATTTTAACTCCCTAATCACCCTTTTCCTGGGTTTCTGTGTCATTCAGACAGGATATTGGCAAGTTGCACTCTCCTCGCGCGGATGAAGCCTTGCAATTGCAAATCGGCGGATTATTTCATCAAGGTCAATTTCCGTATTGTAGTGGATATGAATCAAGGCGAGTCCAAACCATTTTCCAGATTAACTTGGAAATTTTTATATTATTAAAAATATATTTATTATGAAAAATCTGACCGATTTCCGTAAATCTGTGGAAACCAGTGTGGATCCGTGCCTGAGGTATTACAGGAATTACACTATTAGTTTACCGTTTTGTTTTGGAAAAAACACAAGTAATTGACTGCGGAAAAATAAATGAATTTGAGTGAAGTGGTCGGTTTGAATTAGTTTAGCAGCTATAGAAAAATAGCTGCTATCAAAAGTACAACTCAGCGCTTGGTTGTTTTCTCCCTTTCTACTCGTCGTTTTACAAGCTCTTTACAGTTCTCTTCAGAGGCAATGAAATGTTACCAAGCTATTCTATTCCAGTTCAGACCCGACTACTCAGTGTTTACTTTCTACGAGAAAAGCACGCCTCTATGGTCTCAACAAATTTCATTTTTGAGTGACCACGAACAAGAAAGGATAAAGCTGGAAGCAACTCGCGAAGCAAGGATGCTGCAAGGACCTATAAGAGGTCGGAAAATTAGCGCTGTCGAGGGGCTAGAGTAACAGTTCGCTTATGCATGTTCATAAGTTCCGGCCGTTTGGGCCTTTGGCTCGTGTGCGTCTTTACCTTTTTACTGTTTTTAACGCGAGCGTATGAATAAGCTCTCGAAATGTAAAAATCATAGAGGATTTTCATTATAAAGGAGCTTGCAACAGAAAATTCCTGCCTATCTTATGCATTAAATCATAGATAAGAAGAGACACGAAGAGAGAAGTATTTGATACTACCTACAAAAATTATGATCTGTGTGAGTGAACCAGTTGCTAACTAAACTCGATGAGTGCTAACCGACATTGATGAAGGAGTCTGAAGAGTCCACACCCCTTTCCTTATCATAGAACCACTGTGACCGAAGCCAACTCCTCTAACCTAGAAGTGGAAAGAGAAATCCAAGCTGCCACGAACGCATTTGGTGCCGTACTATCGAAATTAAAAATGTAAAAGGCGCTGTGCCGCGGTCCCTGTACAGGAGAATAACAACCCTGTACAGGAAAATAATCATCGGAGACGATGGACTTCCAATACATTTGCTGATGTGAATGAAATAGCTGACTTCAGTTGTTGATTACCCAATAATCTGAAAAATGTTTGTAGAACTTATATTTCAGAGTTAAAATTGATCGACGTTGAAAATGATGTTGACAGTCAACTATTGCAGGAGAGGAAGGAGAGACACTTCTGCCGGCCCCCGACGTGTTTCCTATTACTCATGCTCTGGCGTTTCCTAAGAAAGCAATATAACGTTTTAGCCCTGTGAGACACAAATAACAGTGTGGGTTCAGAGATTTCCAGCGTACAGTTTCAACAGGGCATGCACATTCCGCATAGCTGCTATCAAAAACAGACAGGGACAGGGTTTAAAAACCACTAAAAAACCATTAAAAACCATTAAAACCATTAACAGACAGGGTTTAAAAACCACTCAGTTTCGACAACAAATCTGCTCGACGGTAGACTGCAAAACAGTCCGTATTTTTGTGCATTCAAGTACGCGCGAGCAACGCGCGAGCAACGCGCGAGCAGTCAAACAAAAGGTCTAGAACGAGGCTGAAAACAGAAAGCGAGACTGGGGAGCGCCCTACGGGCGTGTGAGGCTCGCGCGCTTCGCGCGCGTAAGACTCGTACGCCACGCCTTACCGATTTCTTTACCTATTTTGAGAAAAAAACCGACTGTTTTGCAGTCTAATTACGATTCAGCAACAGTAAACATTTCCTTTTTTATTCAACCGGAGAAAAATTTTTTTTCAGAATGGTATTTCCCTAAAAACCATGGGATTGGGGGTCTTGTTGTGAGAAAAGTTAAACAAGCCATCGGTGTCACAGCCTTCTAAGCGGAAAGCTGTGCTGTGATTCGCTTGAAATGCTATCCATCCTGATTGGCTAATTAGATCGAACTTCCGGTTACGAGTGAGTGACAAATTTGCCTACAGATTCCCCACAATCAACACTCGCGTATAATCCACGACTAAAACGGGGATCGGTAGGCAACACACGACTTTTATCTCATACCAAAATGCTGATTGGTTCATTAAATGTTTTTCCTCTGACGGGTAGATTATGCTCTGGAAGAAAACGTTGTGACTGAGCAAATGTGATTTTTGCCGCTTATTTCAAACTGAGGTCGTGACACGCATATTGATTTTCTGCGTTTTTTGTTTCTGGTCGGCATGATTTGCCTTCTGATGCAACAACGTTTTTCTTTGACCGCGAGCTCTTTTGAAATGTAAAGTTACTTATTGCGGCTAAATAAGGGTTTTAGGTTGTTTAATTTCTCCAAATTAAAGTGCCTCCTGGATCTCAAAAATTATAAGCGATTTTCTTTTTTCCGTGAATGTGACGGTTTGCTGGAATGTATTGTCACGCTGGGCCCAGCTCGTTAGCGTTTTAGCATGATGTTAAATTCTCACGGGTAGTGATTTACAGATCCGAATCTCGAAGAATGGGTTGCAGCTCAAACTGAAGCTGCATCAACTATGGAGAATTGCGATATGTCATGATTGAGTCAATGACAATGAATTTTAAACTCCAGCTTGTTTTTCTATTAATGTGAGTCTTTGGACTGGAGCGCGTAGTTCCTCCCTTGGTGATAACTTTTGAATTAGCGTAAAACAGTCTTGCGACTCTGTTAATGCCACTTTGTGAGCATGCAACAAGAAAATCCAAAGTTACAACGAGTTCTTAAGAACTACTAAGTGCTCCGTAGGTAAACAAATTACAAGAAAAAAAATGGCCCCAGTTGTTGAAACGTTAGATAGCGCTATCTAGCGGATAAAGATAGTTTGGAAGCAGGAGATTTTTACTATCAGAAAGATCAGCCCAATTGCCTTTTGACATCAGGGGCGTAGCGTGACCATTTTGAAAAGTACGCACACGGTTGCTTATGGTCTTAAAAACTTTGTACAAAGTAACGTTTTTGCTTTCCTTTGATACATAATTGGCAGTTAACAGGCTTGTTTACAATAGAACTTAGCGTGATATCAAATAGAGAGGAAAGTAGTCCAGGTAATTTGACTTCAAGAATTATTCCTTCTTTTCTTAAAGGAAAAAATGATCGAAATGTACCTCAGAAAAGAGCTGACTATGAACTTGAAATTGATGAACGAGTTGTAACATTTGATGGTGATGCTCCTGTCAGAGGCACTGTTCGTTATATTGGTGAGGACAAAGACTCACATGGACAGGTTCACACCGTTGTAGGGCTAGAGCTGGTAAGTGAGACAGTTAATGTGGTTATTTCATGTACAATGCACCTCAACTTGCTCGATAAGCACTTTAATTTCTTTTCAGTTGTTTCTAAAAGCTTATAGTGTAGTCTTTGGTATCTAAAGGCCTTGGGGGATATTGATGTACAGTTACATAATTATTTCCCGGAAATGACGTACATGAAAATTCTTGTATTTTTCCATATAATAGCAGATTTTTATACCAACTACAAATGTGAATCGCAGTATGCTGAGAATTTATTTATTTATTCATTTTGCCATGAAGAGGCTGCCTGGTGTTGTAATAATATTGTCACTCGACCCTAACCGTGTATAACTCCTTTAGTGTTGTTGATCAACTGAAGTGAAGAGACTTAGGCGCTAACAATAAATGGTAGCCATAGAGTCGTGATAAGAACTGTTTAAATAGCAAGACCGGTTTCAGAAATCTAAGATGGTTTCCTTCGTCATCTGCTTTAACAGTTAGTCGCTCGCGTAGTTGCGAGCAAAAGAAAGTGACTTTGTGGCTGGAAAAGGTCCCTTTTTATTGGCAAAGAAGGGACGCGTTGTTAGAGAAAGTAACATATTAGAAGTGTGTTTATATCCACCAAGAATACCTTGAGTTTTACACGCTGACCAAAATACATAAAACTTTTCCCGTCGGCCGACCTATCGTCTCTGGTAGTGGTGTTCCCTCACAACGCATTTCTAGTTTTGTGGATTCGCTTTTACAACCAATCGCGCAAAAGAAAAAAAAATCAATCAGAGGCTTGGGCTTCTCAAGCGTATAAAGCATTTATTGCCTTTCAGGGCGCGTCTACTTTTCTATAAAAGTCTTGTTATGCCCCTTCTTGAATATGCTGATCTAGTATGGGGCGATAAACATAATATTACCCTTATGTCTAGTTTGCAAGTTTTGCAAAATAAGGCCGCTAAAGTTATTTTAAATAGACCATTGTACTCATCCTCCACTGAGGCATTAGCCGTTCTCAAGAGGCTGCCTCTAGAGAAAAGGCGATTTCAAAGAAGGTGTGTACACGTATACAAATGCATCAATGGTCTAATTAATCACGATATGGACTTGATTAGACAAGACGTACTTCATAGGCATAAGACACGTAACAAAGACAATTTTAGATTACCACGTGTCAAAAGAAATTGGGGGAAGCAAAGAACACAATATCACGCCGTTTCCGATTTTAACTCCCTTAGTCAGACGATCAAAGACTCAAGGAATGTAAATAGTTTTAAACGTAATGTTTTTAAGTTTTTAATATAGCTACTTACGTTTAATTTTTACTTATACTTATTTTTAATTTTTTATGCATTTTTTGTACCTTTTTAATCCCTTTGCAATTTTATAGCTTTTTTGTTTTTATAATATATACCTAGTTTTGAGGTCCTTTTTGAAAACCATATCTTTTATGAAAAAGTTTCCTCAATAAAGATGATTATTATTTATTATTTAAAACAAGTCTTACATCAAGGACACTACACACTTTATAAACTTCATTGAAAACACGCCACTTCCACATGAAGCATTTTTAGCTACATCAGACGTGTGTTCTCTGTATACTAACATCCCCCGGAAAGAGAGAATCGAAATCGTTTGTCACCATTACGAAGAGCATTATCAGTCAAATTTACCTATCCCTGCTCCATTTTTGGTAGACTTAATGCGACTGATTCTAACTGAAAACTCATTCAATTCAACGACAAACACTACCTATAAAGACACACGGCATTGCAATGGGCACCAAAATGGCGGTTGCCTTCTCAGTCATTTTCATGGCTCAAACCATTTCTCTGGAAGAGATTTATTGATGACATATTCTCAGAATGGACTCTTTCTGAAACCTAAATCAACTAGAACCACTACGTGGAACTTACCGGGGCCCAGTGAGACATGGGATTGCATAGATATAGTTTACCTCTCGCACCCCTCCCCCCTCCTCTGTGGAGGCTAATACTTAGTCTGAATTAACTCATGCAGAAGAAAAGCAACAAAATGCATGAGAAAGGAGGATGTTGTTGGAAGTTTGTTCAGTGTTATTACAGCTAACGGTCTGTGTTATAGTAGTGTTTTTAGTAACACTGTGATGTCAATAAGTGTGATCTGTATAAGGTTTTCATTTGTTTTTAAGTTTGAGTGAAAAAGCAAAAATCACTGACAGTTTTGGGTTGAATGGTAATGACAAAGTTTGCAAAGAAGTTTGTTACAGAATTATCACAATTTCACATTTTCTCAAGTACGTTATCATCAGGTTTATCATTGAGATTTATTAATCACATTTATCTATTTTTTGCGAAAACACTGTGAATTTGAAATGATAACAGACATAAGACATTTTTGAAA